TAGGATACCAAAATGATCTAACACCTCTTTGGAGTGGAATTATGCAACATTATCCTTAACAACGACCAAGTTAAGGATATTTCAAAAATATGTAAACCAGTCACGAGGAGAACAATCACTACCAATGCCTTCCAAGCCCAATTTTTACACCTCAAAGCCACACACGTGTGGTTTGCTAAGCTCAAGCTCCGCCCAAGAGAGAAGGTTTTCTGGTGGAGATTTAGTATTGATTCAATTCCTACGAATGCTGGCTGGAACATCGTGGCCTTGCCAAGTCCAACCAATGTTCGTGGGGATTTGAAGGTGTGAAAAATCACCCAATATTTCTACTAACTATTTGCTTTTGGTTGCAGTGTTGTACAAGCTAAGAAGTTAAGACTTTTTTATTCACCCCTCCCACAACTTTGATGTTGTCCTCGCGAAGCTCTACAACACCAATTCAACTAACATCCCTTTGGCAAGATTAAATAGCAATGCAGTTTATCATTGTTGGTGAGACAATAATGCTAAGAAGCACACTAAAGGCTACAACACCCTCACAACTATAGCCTCCCAAATTGTTGGCCCTCACTTTCACCCAATACTGAGGCACTAGGGTTCCAACCCTAGACCTCAACCAAAAGTGAGGTCAACAACCCCCCTTCGGCTTGCATCAAGGTGAATGTCCATGTGACACTCCTCTCCTCCAACATTGCACTATTGGAATCATCATTTAGGACAAGTTGGGACAATTGATTGCGACTTTCATCAATCACAGATGGAAAAAATTTATGGTAGGTGATTTCAATATCATTTCTTCTGCAATTGAGAAGAAAGGAAGAATCACTCCTAACTTTAAGAGTATTGATGAATTCAATACTACTTTGATGGATGTGGGGCTTTATGATCTTGGGTTTCATGGAAACCCTTTTACTTGGCATAAAGGAAATATTTTTGAAAGACTTGATAGATATGTTGTCAATTATAATTGGATTAATAGTTTTTCTATGCATACTATTTCTCATTTAGCAATTGGTGCTTCTGATCATGCTCCTATTCTTTTAGAAATAAGAGAAAGTAATCATGCTACTCAATACCATTTCAGATTTTATGATGTGTGGTTACTTCATGATAATTTTAAACAGTTCCTTAAAGACAATTGGAAGATTCAAGTTTCTGGCACTTCTGGCTATAAGCTTTGGAATCTTCAAAAAAATCTTGCCAAAGCTCTTAAGAAGTGGAATTGGAATGTTTTTGGCCATCTTCAACGCAACATTGAGACTCTTGAGGAAAAATTAAAAGGTTTGGAAACTGATTGTGCTAATAACATTATTGATTGACATGTTTTGTTTCAGGGGCAGAAACAATCAACTGAAGCTATCGATCTGGAAGAAAACTTTTATGCTCAAAAAGTTGCTAAGACTAACTTTCTGAATGGCGACAGAGATACTGCATTCTTTCATGCTTGCATTAAGAATCTTTAGAATACTAATTTGATTACAAGGATTATTGGTATGGATGGTGTTGTTTTCAATAATTTTACTGATATTGTTGTGTTCATTACTTTTGTAATGCTTTTCAAAGTGATGGCAATCCTCTAACCCCTATTAATAGAACTCTTTATAATAGAGATGTTAACATTAATAATGCTTTGCTTACTAGTATACCTATTAGTGCAGAAATTAAAGATATTATTGATCTAATGAATACGAGGAAACTGCTAGTCCGGATGGTTTTACCATTGAGTTCTATAAATATGGGTGGGACATCATTCATACTGATGTTGTTGAAGCTATTCAAGACTTTTTTAGAGGTAAAGATTTACCGAAATACTTTAAAAGCTCTAATATTGTGCTGATTCCTAAGGTGCGTGATGCAAATAATTGGGATGATTTTAGACCTATTAGTTTGAACACGATCATATCTAAAATTATTTCTAAAATTGTGGTTAATATGTTGCAACCTATTCTCAATGATATTATTAGTATGAATCAATCTGCTTTTATGAAAGGTAAGAATATTTGTGATAATGCTCTTATTGTTCAAGAGCTTCTCTTGGATATTGATAAGAAAAACAGATGTGTAAATGTTATCTTTAAAATGGACATTAAAAAATCTTTTGACACTATTAGATGAGAATTTATTATTGATATTCTTAAAGCTATTGGATTTAATTATGTTTTTTGCAAGTTTATTTATAGAATTCTCAATGACAATTATTACTCTCTTCTTATTAAAAGGGGACCAAACAATTAATTCTCAATGACAATTATTACTCTCTTCTTATTAAGGGGACCAAGCAATTTTTCAAAGCTTCTAAAGGTATCAAACAGAGAGATCCTTTGTCGCCTTATCTATTCATTATTGCATTTGATTATTTATCTCGTGGCTTGAATGATTTATTTACTTCATATTCTAGTTTGAATTATAAGCATAAAGACAATATGAGTATATCTCATTTGAGTTTTGCTGATGACTTGATTCTTCTTACAAATGTTAATAAAACTTCCATTAAAAGAGTTTAGACTGAGATTTTAAATTTCCAGACTATCTCTGGTTTATTCTTTAATACTTCTAAACGTGCTTTCTACTGTTCAAAAAACATTAATGTTTCTACAAGAAATTGAGTTATGAATTTTATTGCTTGTAATAAAGCTTCTTTTCCTTTAACTTATCTGGGTTTTCATTTGGATAAAGGTAAGGAGAAGAGTGCTTTATTTTTCAGTATGTTTGAAAAAATTTGAAATAAGATATTATCATGTGAAAATAAATTTCTTTCTTTTAGTGGTAGGGTGACTCTTCTTAAAAGTGTTCTTACTTCTCCCCCTCTTTATACTCTTCAAGTTATGAATATGCCTTTGAATGTTATTAAGAGGATTGAAAATCTTTTTAATAAGTTTTTGTGGGAAGGTAAAGGTCATTCCAAATTTCATTGGTAAAGTTGGAATAAGCTTTGTAAACCTACAGAAAATGGAGGACTTGGCTTTAGAAGCTTAAATGATTCTATTAAAATCAATTATATGAAATTATGGTTTCGTTTTCGTCAGAATAATTCCATTTGGGCTTCTTTGATGCATGCCAAGTATTGCTTTAACAGGAATCCTATGACTATTACCTATAACAAAAGTGATTCTTTTATTTGGCGTGAAATGCTCAAGGTTGCTAGAAAATACTGAAGATATGATTTGTTGGGACATTGATAAAGGTGATTGATCTTTCTGATATGATGATTGGTTGGGCAAAAGATGCTCTTGTTGACTTTTACGGTGGCTCTGAGAATATTAATATCAAGATTAATGACCTTTGGTTTGAACATCAATGGTGTTTTATAAAACTTTTTCAAAAGGTTAATTATGTTGATGCTAATTTTATTGATTCTATTCCTATTGATATTACTAAGTATGATGTGCCTAAAATTAAAGGCAAGTGATTCTTATGCCAAATGTATTGCTAACTCCTTTCAATTTTTGCAAGGTTTAAATCTTAAATGGAATTGAAATATTTAGATTAAACCTTCCATCTCCTTTTTTATTTGGAGAGTTTTTCATAATATCATTCCTAGTGATGATATTCTTAAGATGAGAGGTTTAAGGTTGCCTTCTTGTTTTGTTTTGTGTTATGATAATGAGGAATCAATGGAACATCCTTTTCATAAATATCATTTTACTATTGATGTTTGAAATGATACTATACAGAAGTTGCAGTTAAACAGATTTAACAAAAATCTGATACAGTATAATAACATTTGTGAGATTTTCGATGCTTGGAAGCTGCTCGGTAAAGGTATTTTTACTGCTATACCTGCTGTATACGTTTACTAGAAATGATTGTAAATTTAAAAATATTGTTCCCAAGGTGCATAGAACTGTTAGTTTGGTATTGAATTATTTATATATATGATTAAAGTTTTTGCCCAATAACACTATACTTTCTGGAAATATGAAACATTTGAGACATCTTCTGGATATTCCTAGTTATGTGCATATTAAATTTAATGATAATGTTAAATGACATAAACTGTGGATGTCATTTATTAAGATTAACATTGATGGTTGTTGGAATCCCTTATCTGCTAGTGTAGGAGGAGTTTGTCGAGACCATTTAGATTCTATTCTTTATTGGTTTTCGGCAGGTGTATTTTCTGATTTCCCTTTGGCTGCTGAAGCTGATGCTTTTATCTATAGTCAGCAGATGACTATCAATGATGGTTGGAAATTTATTATTATGGAAACTAATTCTTTGGTTCTTTGAAAGTTTTTTTGGAAGTTTTGTCATTATTCTTTGAAAGTTTTGTCAATTGCAGCAAGATTATCATTGGAGTATCAATATTCAGATGAAAAGGATTTTTGCTCTTTCTAAGAACTTATTTATTCTTTGGTCTCATACCAAGCGGGAAGGAAATACAGCTGCTCACTGGGCGACTAAATGAGGTTTGAAGATGCGAGGTGCTACAGTCTCTAAGATTATTCCTTATAATCTGATGCTTTTAGCCTTAAAGGATGCTGAATAGTTTGGTGGCTATTTGGTTGCTCTTAGTTATGTTCTTTTCGGTTTTGGTTTTTTTTTATTCGTTTTTTTTGCTTTGATTGTCGAGTGTTCTGTGTGTTGAGTCTTGTTGTGTTTTGGTGTGGGTGAGTTGTATTATTTTCTTTTTTGGAGAAAGATCCTTTTTACTTTCTTTGTGTATTTGTACGGTGTGTGTGTTGGGACATCTTTCCCGGGCTTGTATATTTTTTCTTGTGTAATAAGAAAATATAACCCTGTTTTGCCTTTAAAAAAAAATGGAGAAAATTAAAATTTTCTCTCTCAACAATTTGTATATTTTTTCTTGTGTAATAAAAAAATATAATCCTGTTTTGCCTTAAAAAAAAATAAATAAAAAAATTAAAATTTTCTCTCTCAACACGATCATTGAAGATTAGCAAGGCGGATATCATTAAGGAGAATAATTCTAATATTATGGATTACTTTTTGCTACCAACAATTCAAATATTAATTTCATGCTTTAATTTAATCCCTGCTATAACCAAACCGAGGGAAAGCTCACCCCTGTAAATTTTATTGGTGTGCTCGAGCTTCACCTCCTCCACCCTCTCAGATCAGTGCGGCGCGCCAGGGAACAGGTAGGCCACTGCGATGGCTTACATTAGCATGGGCGAGGCTCACCGGCGGATCATAGATTTCCTCAGCCGGTTTTCAGATTCCATCTCCTCCCAGGACGGCGCCGCCCTCAAGCCCCTCCTCGCCGTCTCCTCCAACTCCTCCCTCCTCTCCCTCGCCGACGCCCTCAATATCTTCCAGGTCCTCCCCCGCCTACCCGCCTACCCTTTCCATACCCTAGTTTTTTTCAAAGTTTTTATTTCTTCTGATATCTCACTTCGGTTCTTCTTCAGGATTGGGCTCGATTGGTGAAGCAGGCCGACAGGACTTCGCAGCAGCTTGGAGAAATCATCGTCCCTCACCTCCGCTGCATCCAGAGCTACCGAATCGGGCGATTCGTTGAAGCGTATGTCGCGTTCGAGAAATCTGCGAAGTAATCCCGGTCTCCCCTTGTCCAGATTTTGTGATTTCTTTCAAGATCTGATGTAATGGTTTGGGTTCAGTGCGTTTTTGCAGGAGTTTCGGAACTGGGAGACGGGTTGGGCGTTGGAGGCGATGTATGTGGTCGCTCATGAGATCAGGGTGCTTGCGGAGTTGGTATGAGGATTAGGGTTTTATTATGTTCTTAAGATTTTATTTGATTGATGGTTCTTAGTTTTGGATTTTGATTGCATTGTTATAGGCTGATAAAGAGTTATCTTCCATGGGAAAGAATCCGGAAAAGTTGCAGGGTGCTGGCTCTTTCCTCATGAAGGTGTTTGGGTCGCTTGCGGTATGAGTACATTTTTTCTCTCCTTTGTTGATAACTTCATCTTTTGTATTATTGAATTTTCTTTTTTTTTCAATGAAAAGTTAGATTTAATTATTGATATTTAAAGTGAACTTCTTCCTCTTTGGTGTTCATGAATGTGGAGGTTTGAGATATAACCACTTGTTTTTGGAGGAATGTTTGGGAGAAAAAGTATTCCTTGGAAGGAACTTGGACAATTCAAAAGCTTGTGAAATCGACAACTCTAGAGGGTATTTTGTTAAACAAATGCATGGATGCCCTGACAATTTCTCTCCAATATTCCTTTGAAACTTGATTTTGAAATATATGGGCTCAAGTTCCTTCAAGGAAATGTCTATTTATTTTCTCGAACATGTCATCTTTCGTGGAGTGTCTGAAAATGAGAATTGATGAATAATCTTTACTTTTTTAATGAATGATCATGAATTTTGATTGAAGTAATCTTTTGTATTAGCAGCTATATTACCTTTAATGCAAACCTCATGTTGAGCTTTTATCATGTTAAAAAGTTTGGAAATCCAGCATAAAATTTTTTGTAGGTGGTATGCTCATTATATAAGAGTACAGGCATCAATGGATAACTAATCCTTTAGCTCCTAAAATGCTAGGATTTCCTGAAGTCCCCCAAATATGAATGTGTATTATGGTAAATGGAGATAAAGATTTTTGTATTACTCATAGGAAGGGGTACTTTATAGTGTTTTGCAAACCCACAAATCTCATGCTAGAATGGTTAACATCAATATTCATAGACAATGAAATAAACATTTCTTTTATAGATTTACTGATGAATTCCCTAATGTATGATGAAGATTCAAATATCATCTTTATTTGATTTGACAAAAATTGGAAAAAGAGACAACATTAGCTTTCCAAACACCTTCCTCATATTTTGGTTTTGCAAAACATAATGATCAACTAAGAAGAATACACAACAATTTCAATCCTTAACTTATGAATGGACCAACAAGTTGATTGTAAGATTAAGAACTGTTAGAATAGAACCCAAGGCTAATCTTATTGATGCAAAGAGGGGTATAAATATCCATTACAGGATCTATTAGAAAGGAAAAAAATAAAAACATAATGTAGTAGAAAAGAAAAGAAATAATAGAGAATCCAAGCTAATAACTCAAAATAATCAGGAATTAATAATGACTAAAACTAGTCATTAATGACTAAAACTAGTCATTAATAAATATTCTAATGTTCGAGCTCAAGTTGAAGCATATATGTCAGTCATATTCAACTTGAATTTGAAATCGTCGAACAGTGGTCGATGAATGTTCTTTGTGAGCATATATGTCAGTTGGCCATTAGAAGATACAAATGGAATACAAATCTCCCTGGACTTGATTTTTTCCTTAATGAAGTGTCAGTCAATCTCAATATGCTTGGTGCGATTTTGTTGGATTAGGTTGTGAGAAATGCTAATGATTGTCTTATTATCACAGAACAACTATAGGGGAGCGAAAACTATCACAAGTAGTTAGTGGAGCATGATGCGTAACCGGAGCCCAGTTATATGAATCGAAATTCGGCTTCCGCACTGCTCCGAAAAACTACAAACTGCTTCTTGCTTTTCCACGTGACCAGGTTTTCCTACACAAATGAGCTGTACCTTGAGGTAGATCGTTGATCATGGACAAATTCAACCCAATCTGCATCTGTGTAAACTGTAATAGAATGAGACATATGACAGGAAAAAAAAAACTTGAGCTCGATGTGCTTTTTAAATATTGGATAATCCGGTGGACATCTTGGAGATGGTGCTCATAGGAATCATGCATGAATTGACTGATTATCTCAATTGCGTGACAAATGTAGGGACGTGTAGGGCAAGGTACATGGGTTTTCTCCACAAGACGCTGATAGTAAGTATTATTTACAAGAACTGTATTGAGAGCATCAAGAAGTTTTTCAACTGGTTTGCACAGAAGAAGATTGTTCCTGTCAATCACATATTTCCGTTGAGACAGATAAATACTCTGAGATGACCAAGCAACTTCCATGCCTAAGAAGTATCGATGAGATCCAAAGTTTTTCATTTCAAAGGAAGCAACAAGAATGTTTTCAGAGATTCCAATACTGATAGATTATTACATGTGAGAACAATATCATTGACATAGACGATAATGATAGCTACTTAGTCGTTGGAGGAATGTCGGAAGAAGAAAATATGATCTGATTGAGTCTGAGTGAATTCACGGTCTACCACAACCTTTATATACTTTCCGAATCATGCCCATGATGATTGTTTCAATCCTCAGAGGGATTTTCACAGCCTACTTGCCCCTGGGAGGTAGTTGAGTTAAAGCATAGAGGAAGAGTCATGTATACCTCCTCTGTAAGATTGTCATTATGGATAGCATTCTTGACATCAAGTTGAAATAATGTTCAATCCAGATTCACTGCATGGGATAAAAGGACCCAAATGATATTTAATTTAGCAACTGCAGCAAATGTTTCCTGATAGTCAACTCCGTAGATCTTTGAGTTCCCTTTGGTAACCAATCGTGTCTTGTTGCGTTCAAAGGATCCATCATATTTAAACTTGATGCTAAAAGTTCATCGGTATCCCACTGCTTTCTTGTCCCGAGGAAGATCAACAATGTCCTAATTATGGTACTGCTGCAGGCGTTCATCTCCTCCATGAAGACAACTTTCCAGGTTGGGTCTGCTAAAGCGTCATCAATAGTAGATGGAGGCTGATGATTGATCAGGGCCGTAGCAAAATGCTCTGTAAGTTGGCAATAATCTGTGAAAAGAAACATAGTTTGTCACGGGATAGAGAGAGCATGTCTGATTGGGTACCTTACCAGAGGAACTAATATTCTCATTTGGAGCAGGAGCAGTGCTGGGGATGTTTGATGGGGATTCAGGGCCCAACAAGGGGTTAGTGAGCCTTAGAGTATTAGAACGAGTGCGTCAAGTATAGACACGAAGTGTCAGAGGATGTAATGGTGGAATCAAAGGGACAAATGGCTTCTTGGTGGTAGCAGAAGTGGGTAGAACCAATGGTAGGTGACGTGGGGGGAACATTCACAGGAAAAAGAGTGTCCAAGTACTCTAGCTCTCTCTCACTGGAGGCCGAGTTAGGAAAATAGGGAACACTTTTAAAAAAAGAGACATCAACACTCATATAGACCTTGTGGTAGGTTCAATACATCGATACCTCTTTTGAGTGACAGAGTATTCAAGGAAAACACATTTTGTGGATCTGGGATCAAGTTTACTCTGAGTTAGGGTTGTGTTTCGAACAAAAACTATGCACCCAAAATTTTGGAATCTAAAGTGGGGAATACCCAATTGTTAGGAAAACACTATCTCAAGATGGCTAAATGGGTATGAAAGTTGTAAATTTTTGATAGAACTCTATTGATGAGGTTGATGACGGTAAAAATGACATCATTCCAGAAATGTTTAGGAACATTAGAGTGAAACTTAATGAAGCGAGTAATGTTGAGGGGATGTCAGTTTTTTCTCGGTTATCCTATCTTTTTGAGGATTTGATAGGAGTTTTGAATTTGTTCATATGGAAAGATGGTTCCTTGGGAGCAGCGGAAGTGGTTAGAACTAAAGGAACAGAGGGTTTCTTGATGGTAGGTGACGTGGGGGGAACATCCACCGAAGGCTTCATTAAGGGATGATATATCTTATTTTCCAACAATTTGAATACAAATTTAATCAAATTTCACATTCAATCTGTCAAGAAACTCAATAATCCTCTCTCTTTTCATATATTTTTGATAATTTCACCATCCTCACGACATTTCATATTGAAATTTTGATAGTATTCTAATTCTAACAATTTTTTTTTTATTATATTATAATATTCAATGATAGGTAAGTTGCTTTGCTTGGTTGTTGAGAACTTTGTGTTGATCTCATTGATGAGAGCAACACCTTGTTGAATAAGTTTGTCACTAAACTCACAAATTTTTTCAATTGCTATCAGAAGTTTAGGGGCTGTTTGGTATCAATTTTTATTATTTATTTATTTTTTGTTTTTGAAAACAATGAATAAGAAACAAACATAAAACAATGTTTGTTTATATGTTTTTTATTTTATTTATGTTATTTATTTTTTGGGAGAGCACTTCTGTTTTTAAAATACTAAAAACAGAAATTAGGTGTTTTTGCATGTTTTTAAAAACCAAAATAACCCTTTGCCTAGCCGCGTCCGTTGTCGGTCGCTGCCCGCCCACTGCCTTCCATCGACGCCACTAACGGTCGCAGCCGCCTGCCTTTGTTGTGCTCGTCCGCCGCCCGCCGCCCGCCTCCCTCCCTTGCTAGCCGCCACTGCCCTCCAGCCGTCGCCCTTCGCCGGCTCCAGCCCTCGCCCTTCGCCGGCTCTAGCCCCCACCCTCCACGGCTCGTCCATATGTAATATTTCATGCTGGGTAGAGCAAGGAAGATGTCTATACGCGATGAACGACCAAGCTTAATATTGGAACACACGTGAATCCTACCTTTTTATAAAACATATTAGTTTTTCTTTAAAATAAATAACAAATATCTAACCAATTATATTTTATATTTTTTGTTTTTAAGAACATATAAATCATAATAGTAGCAAACACATTTTCTAAAAATAGAAAATATAAAAAAAAAACAGACTAAAACAAAAATAAATATAAAAATTTGAATGTGATCACAAACAGACCCTTAATTTTTACATGTTTTTGATATTATAGAGGTCTGAAGTGATGCATAATGATGGAGGATTCTTCATCCCAAGGTGTAAACTTTGGATCCTTAGGACTTGGAGGAACAACTATCAAGTGGTTGATTTTTTCTTTTTCTTTCAAGAACATCGTCATGATCTTTGATCACCTATGTTAATTTATTGTATTCAAGTGATACGAAGCCTCCTAGTTTTGGTGGTTTTCATTTTTTTTTGCTGTCTTTATTCTTTGAACTTTTGGCAATAGATTTTTTTGGACAAATTCAAAAATTAAAGACATGGTGGTAGGGAATGA